CAGTGATAGTCAAGCTAATGACTGTAAAGAAGCGCTTAATGGGAGGCAACCCATCAAAAAAACAAAAATTGTTATTTGACATTTTTCTGTTTTGCATTGAGTTATTTAATTCTTTTATTCATTTTTTTTTAGTTTGTTCTTTGACATTTTCTTTTTATTCAATTCTTTTATTCATTTTCGTTTTTCTAATTTTGGCTGGGTTAGTTTTTTATTACCTTTTTTGCAGCAGTTTAGGCAACTATAACAAGAACTTTTGGCTCTAGAGGAACACACTGCATGTCTACAACAGGAAGAGCAAGATAGGGGAGTATTGTCTTTCTTCCCTTATTTATTTGTTTTACATTGAGGACAATGTTAATTTTAAGTTTGGCGGAGGATATTTTGTGTTCTTGCTTTTGTTGTGGTTTGAAGTGATAGAATATTGGATGCATGTGTGCGAGTTTAAGTTTCCAGCATGGTATGAATATAGTCAGATGAGCCTATACATATTTTTGTTGCATAGATGCTGCAAGTGAAGGATATTGTTCTTCTTTGATGATTACGTCAAAATTTAGTAATACCTTGATGAGAGGAGTTGAGGGCTTTGACTTTATAATTGTTTTGGTTGGAAATTATATGCATCTTGTGAGTAGGTGTCATTGTTTCTGTGATGATTATCCTATCTAATTATCCCTGGAAACTGCTTTGAAAAAAAAAAAAAAGAAGTCAAATGTTTCGTGGCCTTTGTTACTTGAGTAAGTATGCTCTTAGGGGTGTCTCTTCACCTAGTGCCCTAAAGCCAACTGGTTTGGGAGTCATTGGCAAAAAACTCGTTACATGGGTAACTTAGAAAGCCTAAGGAAACTTGACAAGAAAAGAAAAAAAGAAAAAAAAAAGATAAGCCAGCACACAAAAAAAAAGTTTGATAATTTCTACTCCAATGTTTCTAAGTGCTTAGTAACTGGGGCTTAGGTATGCGACCCATATCAACTTTCACGTCAAACGGTAACTTGAAATATGAGTATGTAAAACACTTTGAATTTGTGACTTATTGAGTAACCGGGTGCTTTCATCACAAATGTTAGTATTCGCGTCAAAAGATAAGTGACAGCTCAAGGAAAAATGTGATGTATGGCTAGAAAAAAAAGAGAAAAGAGAAAAAGAACAGAAAAGAGAAAAAAAAAAAAAAGGGGTAATTACATGGTATATTGTTACATGTTTCAGTGGTGCTTATTGCAAGTTTGCATGGAGTTATTTAAAGATGAGCATAAGTATGAAAGTGATAGTCATTGACTCCCTTGCTTGGTATTACTGGAATTTGAACTAAAAATCAAGTTGAATGTTGATGCTCCTTGTGTTATCTGTGTGGGGAAGAATGTATGTGAGCTCTATGGGTACACTTGACGATATGAATCATTTGAAAAATAAACGTATTCGTTCTGTAGCGGACCTCTTACAAGATCAATTTGGATTGGCTTTGGTTCGTTTAGAAAATGTAGTTAGAGGAACTATAGGCGGAGCAATTAGGCATAAATTGATACCGACGCCTCAGAATTTGGTAACTTCAACTCCATTAACAACCACTTATGAATCTTTTTTCAGATTACATCCATTATCTCAAGTTTTGGATCGAACTAATCCATTGACACAAATAGTTCATGGGAGAAAATTGAGTTATTTGGGCCCTGGAGGATTGACAGGACGAACGGCTAATTTTCGGATACGAGATATCCATCCTAGTCATTATGGGCGCATTTGCCCAATTGACACGTCTGAAGGGATTAACGTTGGACTTATTGGATCTTTAGCAATTCATGCCTTGATAATCATCCAAGCTTCAATTTGCTTGTTGTATGTTGATTTCAACCCAGATATGCTCAATAAGGCCATTTAAAGCTTCACACATCTTCTTAGCTCTAGCTCGCGTGACTGGACCTCCTTAGGTGTGTAATGGATCACATGACGTAGTAGATATGCTGTCATCTTGATTCCCATCATTCCCTTTCTCCTCAAAAGGATTTGTCCTCAAATCGTCACCTACATCAAAAGGAGAAAGATCAGAAACATTAAAAGTAGCACTAACATTATACTCACTAGGAAGCTCCAACTTGTATGTGTTGTTATTAATCCTCGCAATCACTTGAAATGGTCCATCGCCTTTTGGTTGTAGCTTGGAATCGTTCCTTGCGCAGGGAATCGCTCCTTACGCATATGCACCCAAACCCAATCTCCAAGTTCAAATATAACTTTCTTGCGTCCTTTGTTGGCTTGTTTTACATATTGCTCAGTTCGTCGCTCTATGTTTTGTCGCACCCTTTCATGTAGTTGCTTAACCACTTCAACTTTCTTTTTCCCATCCAAACTAGCTTGTTTGTCAATAGGTAAAGGCAATTAATCTAAAGAAGTGAGTGGATTAAAACCATACACAACTTCAAATGGTGAGCAGTTAGTTGCTGAATGGACGCTCCGATTATAAGCAAATTCAACGTGCAACAAACACTCTTCCCAGTTCTTCAAGTTCTTTTGAATAATAGAATGCAATAAGGTTGACAACGTCCTATTAACCACTTCTGTTTGTCCATCAGTTTATGGATGACAAGTAGTCGAAAACAGTAGCTTAGTTCCCAGCTTTCCCCACAATGTCTTCCAAAAGTAACTCAAGAACTTGACATCGCGATAAGAAATGATAGTCCTTGGAATGCCATGTAAACAAAAAACATCCTTGAAGAATAGATCCGCAATATTGGTTGCATCGTTAGTTTTATGACATGGAATGAAGTGTGCCATCTTCGAGAACATGTCAACAACAACCAAAATAGAATCGTGGCCTCTTTTTGACCTTGGTAAGCCCAAAACAAAATCCATAGATACATCAACCCAAGGTTCAGTAGATATGGGTAAAGAAGTATACAAACCATGTGGTAAAACTCTAGATTTTGCTTGTTTACATGTTATGCACCTTTAACAGATCCTTTCAACATCACGTTTCATGTGTGGCCAAAAGAAGTGATCATTCAGAATATCTAAAGTTTTCCTAACTCCAAAATATCCCATTAAGCTTCCCGCATGAGATTTCCTTACTAACAATTCTCGTAAGGAACAATTAGGCACACATAATCGATTTTCTCTAAACAAGTACCCTTCATGCCTATAAAACTTATCAAAAGCAATCTTCTCACATGCATTAAACACATTAGCAAAATCTGGATCATTAGCATATAATTCTTTAATGTGCTCAAAACCTAATAACTTTGCACTTAGGGTAGAGATAAGTGTGTACCTACGAGATAATGCATCAGCCACAATGTTTTCCTTTCCTTGCTTATACTTGATCACATAGGGAAACGTCTCAAGGAATTCCACCCACTTAGCATGTCGTCTACTCAACTTACCTTGTCCCTTAAGGTGCTTCAAGGACTCATGATCAGTATGTATCACGAACTCCTTAGGCCAAAGATAATGCTACCATGTCTCTAAAGCTCTTACCAATGCATACATCTCCTTGTCATAAGTAGGATACTTAAGTGCTGCACTAGTCAATTTTTCACTAAAAAATGCAATAGGTCGCTGCTCTTGCATCAAAACAGCACCAATGCTAATACCTGATGGATCACATTCAATTTCAAAAGTTTTAGTAAAATCAAGTAAAGTAAGTAACAATGCAGAAATTAAATTTTCCTTAATTAAATTGAAAACATTCTCCTGTTCACTTTCCCACTTAAATCCAACACTTTTTTTCACAATTTTAGTTATCGATGCTGCAATTGTGCTGAAATCCTTGATGAATCTCCGATAGAAACTCACCAAACCATGAAAACTCCACACCTCAAAAATATTTTTAGGTGTCAGCCATTCTTTAGTAGCCTTAACCTTTTCTTCATCTACTGCGATTCCATCAGCTGAAACAACATACCCTAAAAAAACAATTTGCAAAAATGAATCATTGGCAAATTGTTTGTGAAGGCACATCACTCAAGCTTTTTGCTCAAATGTCCATCCTTAAGGTGTAGATGTACCTATCCTATAATGTTGTATGTTGAGTTGTAAAACTCTTAATGAAATATGTAGCTCATTTTGAGTGGAGTGTCCCAATTACAGAAACATTCTTGACAAATTTCACCTATGAAAGTGTCAAAGTGAGCTTGTATGAAAATTGGATGGGTAATTTTCTAAATCACCTATGAAAATCAAGATCATGTGCACGGCTATAATGTGCTAGTTGTGTGTAATGTTAAACACTCAAATCATTATGTGTGATATGGTTCTTGTATCCTCTGATGAGTTATAGTTTAAGACTTAATTCACTATTGACTCTAAAATAGGAATTGTTGACTCATTAAGAAAATGTAAAGAACTTAGCTACCTTTATTTGGCATAATAATTTATCTTTGCCCGATAGGTCACATTTATTTTTTATTAAAATAGTAGGGGAATTGTTGTAACTTTAGTATTTTAATAAAAATAAAAATAATATATTTTATAAATTAAATTTAGTTTCCTATTTAGAATTTAGTCAAACTAGCTGTTGTGGCTTAATTATCTTAAAGGCATATTACTTCATAATAACTGCTCCATTTGTTCCTACAATTAACTTATAGATGGAAGTTACAAGAATAAGAGTCCTATTAATAGGACATGCTGTTTTGCTTAATCAAGGAGAAGTTTCTCTACATTTTTCTACTTTCTTACCTTTATTTTCTAAATTTTCTTGGGAAAAGAGGAGTATCATGAATTTGGTAATTCTATAGGTAGTTTAGATTCATAAAGTGTATTATAAAGCTACAGTATCTTAGGGGTAACAAGTTATATATATCTCTACTGCACCAATAGATCTACTATGTATAGAGGCAGAAATCACCTTAAAGTAAGTAAGCTTTTATTCTTATTTTAGAAATATTTTTTTGATAGTTTTAAAGAAGTTCACTAATTATTATTTTTATTAATTTTGTAACCAAAACAATGACACGAAGTGAAGATGGATAAGTATGTTTGAGGAACAACAAAATGTGCAAATGCTATCTTAACTTGTGCTCTAAAGGTATATGCTAAAAATACCCTTGATTAATTTCACAAGTATTCCTAACATTATAAATCTTAGAATATTTCAATTTTCATTTTTAAAGTGATTAGCAATAATAATCACTTCCTCTATTCAACTTTAACAAATCTAATTTTTAATTTTGATTGTTTAAATTTAGTTTTCTACTCTTTTTTTTTTTTTAAGATTTCGTTTTAGCACATTTATTTATATTTGGTTTAAGTACCATTTTGGTCCCTCAACTTGTCACTTTGGTACCAAAATTGTCCCTCAGCTTTAAAAAGTACCAAAATTATCCTTAAACTTTCATTTTTGGTACCAAAATGATCCTTCCGTCAGTTAAGTGCATAGGTGGCACGTTAAGATGCCACAAAATCACTGATTTTTTTTAATTTTAATGACATGTAAATCCAGCAAATAAAATCTTGCCACCATGGCATGTTTTTATACACGTGGCATATTTTTTTACACGTCATATTATCATTTTTTTTACTTTCCCTTTTAATGGGGTCCACATGACATTTTTTTAACTTTTCTTATTCTTTCTCTCTTTCCTCTCTTCCCTCTTCTTCTTCCTCTCCAGGAGTCGCCTGTGGATTCTCCGAGAATAAACCACAACGCCGCCGGTAGCTC